TTAGGATTAGTGAAAGCAGGGAAACCTTCCCACTAAGGTTTTTGTTTCTATTTTCTATCTATGCCTGTCAGAAACTTACTAGGACATTTAGTTTCCAATAAAAAAAGGAATTCCTATTTCAACCTTATGCAAAGATTGTGGAGTTTTGTTTATTTGTTTGTTTTTCCATTTGAGAAACCCCCATAGTGGTCAGTATTCTGATAAGTCTGCCTTTCAGAACACTAGCAAGGGCTGGTTTTCATTATCATGACTTTAGGAATTTATTAAATAAATGGAACAGAAAAGACAGATGAATTGCTCAAAACTGCCTCTGGGAGTGAGCAGAAACTGAAATGGCGTTTGATCTTTCATTGTAAGTATCTTCACTTCAAAATAATAAGAGGGTGGCTTTGGGCTAAGAGTCTAAAGAACTAGTTATGAAATCCAGCAACAGAATACAATTTGCCTTATAGCTTTGGTTCTCATCGTTTTTAAAGTGATGGTCCATGATGGCCATTTATTCACTACTCAGCTCCATGTTGGTCAACACAATTAGTACATTCTTAGGCTTGCCTGCCGGTAAGAAAATACTTATTTTTCCTCAAGTTGCTACTTTTAATCATCTCTAACTTTCCATATTCAAATGCAAATTAATCCTCATTTTAAAATTCTACTTCTTTATTTCTCTACAGAGTCATGTGTGTCCAGCAGCCCAACTATATATTCATTCATCTAGCAAACAATGATTGAACAACTCTATGCAGAGTCCTGGTTTTGGTGCAGCAAGATGTATAAAATGTTATTCCTGCTCCTGTGAGTTTGTGAGTTGGAAACAAGAGGCTATGACAAAGAATCAGATAGACATGAATGTTACGGTAGAGGCACAGGCAGCATGCTGTGGAAATTCATAGAGAGATTGACTCAGAGAAGGAAGGACTTGGCACTTGAGGGGTTTCCCAAAGAGTGGAGTTTCCTGAGACTTGTAACCATTTACATAATTTCACCAGGGGTAACCATAGCAAGAACAGTCTAGGAGTTGAGAGGTGGAAGGGCTGGAGAGTAGGCTTGCTTTGGGTCCAGTGAGGGTGGCTTAGATGAGTGGGGTTGAAGCAGACACAGTGTTATAAATATCAGGTAGAGCAATGCTTGGGCCCAGTGATGGCAAGCAGCAGCTGCACAGCCACCTGTGTTTACAGAGCTTCTCAGCGAGGCTGAAAAGGGAAGGTCCTGCAGTGGCTCTAGGATGCAGCCTCTCTCTGGAACCTGCTGGCATCACATTGCCAAGGTACTGTATCTGCTTTACCTGAAACCCAAGCTTCTATTGCTGAGCTATGCATCCATGTCCTCTTGCCTTATCCTCAAAGAGTGGGAGACAAGAGGTCACTCCTCTGCACATAATGTGCATTAGGCTCTTGAAGACGGAGCTCCAGCCCTCAGTTTTTCTTCAGAGCAAATGACTGGAGAAATCCAAGAAGTTTGTGGGGACCACAGGAGATAGTCATAGAAGAGACATAGAGTCTGGAAAATGCAAGGCCGCTCTTGTAATCAGCTAATATTGAGGGTGCACTCACAACACCATGCACCTCCAGAGCAGTGACAGCAATGCTATATAACAGTATATACAATATTGCAACATGTGGTTTCCAACCAGGCTGGTAGGGGCTTGAAAATGTGTGTACACATGCCAGGTAGGTGTTTAGTGGAAAGGGACCAAGGATGCTAAACATCCTGCCCGGTGTCACTCCGTCCTTGAGAACAAAAAGTTGTTTTGCCCCCTCCGTGATTCTTGAGTTTATTAGTTGACTTTGAAAATGGGTAGGTAGCCATTACTAAAATGAGATCATTTATCTAATCTCACTGATCCGAAGCGCAGTCTCCATCCACAGTATTCACGGGACAAATAGTGTTGCATGACACTGTAGGTCGAAGGGCTTGGACATGGCGGGAAGGCTTTCTGCACAGGGAGCTTCAGACTAATGACCAGTCCCATGGTGCCGCCCTGGGCTGACAGCTGGCTGCCCTGTGCCAGTGCTCTCTGCAGGTAATACAGGCAGTGACAGGGGTAATGGTTGGGGACTTCTCACTGGCCAGCTGTGGGTCAGTGTAAGGCATGGATTCACTTTGGTGGCAATATCCATCAGCCATGGCAGGTCTGGGGACTTTGAAGAGCACCTGGGGGCATCCGTAGTAACGTTAACAGATGACTCCATTTTATTGCTTGGTCATACACTGGGTATTCTCGAAACACATGGCCACTGGACACTGATATCCCAGCCACCAGCCTTGAGAACATTCCATTCCTGAGTGGAGAAGGGTCTGAGAAATCTCGCACCTTTGGAAATGATGTAACTGCCAGTAAATCAGTCTACAGCAGTTACAACTGGCCCTTCAACAGTTACAAACAGCAAGAGATTATCTGAGGCGTCGGAGCTTAGCAGCATGCCTGCGCCACTCCAACCAGCTGGAGGCCTTATCAGTGGGCCCAGCTCTGCAGCTGACAGCCCACCTGGTATGTGAAGCAACCCGAGTTGCCAGGGAGCATTTTAGGATCCAGTGAGGATATGCATTAGAAACCAATGTCTTTATCATATTTCCATGTCTTTTAGCACCTAGTATGTGCCCTGCAATGTAGGTGAACTGGGGATATCTCACTAAACACTGTGTTTAAGTAGAATCCTGAAGGATTGTCAGTAAAAGGAGAGTTTTTTGTGTGGAGGGTTTAAAAATACCCACGCTACATCTCAGGTATGCAAGAGACTCGGCATGAACTACTCTATAACTGACCTTATCATGCTCACCTTCTGGGATGGGGGTACTTAAACTTACTATTCAGGGAGACATTATAAGACTAAAATACTTGGAGAGCCATCACCTCTGAATAGTGCCCTTCCCCAGTGACCTGTGAGATTATCATTCACATTTGAGAAGAGGGAACAAGCAAAGACACTCTCCTTAGAGGTTCGCCTCTTGTCCACTTTCTCCCCTGTCATTCACGGAATCCGGGTTCTCAATCCATCTCCATTAATTTTATCATAAGCTTATGGAGGAAGAGGGGATACAATGTCTGTTTCCCTGAGTGAATCCCCCTGGGGTGGCCAATGAATTCTTACTATCCACACGGACACTTTGTCTGACTGGCCCAGTGGACTTTAACTGCTGGGCCTTTCAAAGGTGGGCTTTGTTTTGTGTAACACCCATGTTCTTGATGCTTGCTTCAGAGTACATATGGGTGTTTTCTTAAAGTCAGTAAATGCCTGTTAGTAGTATTTCTTTTCAAAAAGCACCTGCCTAATTTCTTGAATCAATAGTTTTTCTCAGTAATGTTTGGTTTTGCAAAGAGATTTACTCATTTGGATGCTGTGTTAGGTCCACATAGAGAATGAAACTTGGACTTATGTCCCTCTATTGATCCCCCCCCCCCCATACAAAACAGTGGCAAAAAAGGGAAAGTTTAAGTACAAAATTTATTACAGTAAAGAGATTAAAACAATTTTCTTATGTAAACCAAAATTAACATTTGTTTCACAGGACTACCAGTAGTTGGAAAAACTATCTATTACAATTGCACACTCTGGCTGAAAGCCCAGCGATAGAGCTTGTTCAGGTCAGTGAGTGTGCTCAGACCCCAGGGAAAATCTCAGGACTACTGGCTCAGTAGAGGGAAAGAGACAATGAGACAATTGCATTGCTTACAAATGATCACCTTCCTGTTTGACAACCTGCATATCCAGTTGTGATCTTGATGTCAAGAATTCAAATCACAGATGCCCAAATTCATGCTTCTTGTAAATGGGCCAGGATTTCCTTTTATGTGGCTTCCTGTGTATTTTTCAGCAATAATAGGGAAGAGAAGGCCAAGGGGCCCCATCCCATCTCAATACCCCTCTTCCTCCTTGAAAGATCTTCATCCTTCTTATCACTGTCCAAATCCTCCTGTGCCCATTCACCAGCTGCTGCCTGTTACCACTAGGAATCATCTTCCATCATCAGTATGATGATCAGATGAAAAGGAACTACACCCATAGGGGAGGGCCAAGCTCCTGGGCAGAAAACCTGGAGGCCGCATTTACATTTTATTTTTTTAATATATTATTGATTTTTTTACAGAGAGGAAGGGAGAAAGATAGAGAGTTAGAAACATTGAGAAAGAAACATCGATCAGCTGCCTCCTGCACACCTCCTACTGGGGATGTGCCCGCAACCAAGGTACGTGCCCGCAACCAAGGTACGTGCCCTTGACCGGAATCGAACCTGGGACCCTTCAGTCTGCAGGCCGACGCTCTATCCACTGAGCCAAACCGGTTAGGGCCGCGTTTACATTTTAAAGGAGAATCCAGAAGATGAACTCTAAAGCAACCTCTGCTGCCTTTTCAGGGGCTTTAATGGATTGCTCCACTTCCTGTTAGGGCCCACTTTCTGAAGGGGGAGAGAAGTCCAAACTGCTCTCTGTGAGGAGGGAAGTAAGACTGGGTAAATAGCATAAAAATTGGAAGTAAATGCATCCCCCTCTATGGACCTTCCTTCATCTTCCTGGAAATAACTATGTTATTGGAAAAGTTTCATATCTTCTCAAAGCCTCAGTGTATGCATGTGTAAAATGGGAATAACCATTGCACACATCTCTGAAGGCAATCAGGAGGGCTAAATAAAAAGCACAGAAAGTTCATAGCACAGAGCATGCCATATAAAAGGGATTCCATAATGGTTAGCTATCAATCCCAGCGTAAATCCTTCACTCGATAGAGGAGAAAACTGAGGCCCAGAGAGAGGAAGATTCTTATCCAAGCTCTAAAGCATCAGGCTGCGTGTCTTTCCACACCCTGCCATCCCACTTGTCCCCTTAGAGTAAAACAAAATAGAATGAAGCTGACAAGATTTCTTAGAGGCTCAAGATCCCCTCGGGGTGCTCTTGCATGGGGTCACGGACATGGCTTTTCCTCCCACAATCCCTTGCCTGCTTTTATTTTTAGCAGCTGTATCCCATGAGAGGACGTCTTGGGTGCCAGAGAGCTTCCCCTGCTTCAGCACTCTTGGCTTTGCCTCTGGGCATCTTTCCATGGTGTTGCTGCCGCCACCCCGTCCACTACAGACTCGGCATAGGATGGTGGTGCCTCTTGGTGAGCACCACTTTCAACCTCATATCCAAAGTCCATCTCTGTGTACAGAGGTGGAGGGATATCCACGGCCTCTCCCTCTGCAGGACAGGTTTGCTTTCCAGCATCCAGACTTTCTTCATAAGCAGGAGGGTAAAAATCTGGCCTGGGGGACAAAATGCCACAAACATGCACATGTTATTCAAGTGGTTCAGGCCAGAGAGGCATATGATTGCCTCTCTCAGATCACACTGCAAAGTGAAACTGTTAAGAAACATTGATTTTGAAACAGATGTATTTCTTCCCTGGCATCACCAGTTTTTAAAAAACATGTCGCTTCCCCAGCAGAGCCCTCTTTCTCAGCCATAAGATATGGGTCCCTGTAGTCACACTTTCCCCAGTGGGTTATTCCAGGCTATCCCCTCTCTCTTACTTGTTGGAACCAAGACTTCTAGAGTGAGATCCTTAGCAGGGGTAGGGAACATGAGGGCCTGAACTGTGGAACTTCTCTACCCAATTATTCAGTCCATTCACAGCCTATCTCCATTCACACATATAATCATCTACTCAATTGCACTCACAGTCTCAGATCCTCACAGCCAATAAAATAATGAATGTAAACCAGTTCCGTGAAGTTCCCTGCATTACATCAGATGCTTGTCTCTTTCCCATTGCTTTTTCAAGTCTCGGCAGCTAGTTAAAAAAAAAACAAAAAAAAAAAACAACTAATTTCCCAAGCGATTTAAACTGAGAACTTTATGTAGATTTCAGTTGCAACGTTTTTCCATGCAGTAGGAAGAGAGAATAAACAGGGGCATCATGCTGTCTATAATTTAAGGCATTTCTTCACAGTGTGATGTTATGTATGTATTAATAAATTTAAGCTACACCCAAAGGGTAATCAATTACTCTTATCAGGAATTTCATACTCTGGAGGCAATTATCTAACATTTATGCAAAATAAAATCATTCTAGATGCATCTTCTAAAATCACATTTTATCAAACCCAGAGTCCTTGCTGATAAGTATAATAAACATCGGAAATGGGCTTGGATTATTATAATTAGTATCATTAATTAGCATAATAATGTCAAAAATCAAGTCATGGGTAAAAGTGCACTACTTATTCAAAATACACGGAGTAGCAAAATATACAGAGTAGCTAAAGTAATTTAGATGAAGAGGGTAAAAGAATTTATGGAGTCTTGCAGCCTGTACCTTAAGGATGATGCCTGATGTTTTATCCCTAAATGGTCCTGCGGTCAGCCAAAAATTAGGAGGTTTGGGGTTGTCAGATACTAACCATGAGGTTAACTGAAATGTTTTAATGTGGTAAAATATATAACAAAATTTACCACATTGGCCAGTGTGCAGTTCACGACACTAAGTACATTCACATTAAATGCAACCACCAACACTATTATCTCCCAAACTGAAGTCCCGTGCCCATTAAACAGTTACTCCCCATCCCCCTGCCTCCTGCCCCTGACAACCACTGTTCTACTTTCTGTCGATGAATTTGACTTCTCTAGATACTTCATATAAGTGAAATCATATATATTTGTATTTTTGTGTCTGGTTTATATCACTTAGCATAATGTCTTCAAGGTTCATCCATGGTGTAGCATGTGTCAGAATTCCTTACTTCTTAAGGGTGAAAAAAATACTCTATTGCATGTATACACCACATTTTGTCAATCCATTCATTCACTGATGGCCTAGGTTGTTTCTTCCTTTTGGCTAGTGTGAAGAATGCTGCTATGAATATTGGTGTAGATATAGCTGTCCCAAGTCCCTGCTTTCAATTCTTTTGTTTGTATACCCAGAAGTGGAATTGCTGGATCAAATAGTAATTCTGTGTTTAATGTTTTGAGGAACCTCCATATAATTTCCCACAGTGGCTACACCACTTTACATTCCTACCAGCAGTGCACTAGGTTTCCAATTTCTCCACACCCTTGCTGACACTTGGGTTTTCTTTTTAATAGCTATCCTAATGGGTGCACTGTGGCAAGGTTATCTGAATCTTACCTCTGGAATATAATTGCTTTCCCTCAAATGAATCTTTCATGCAAAGTATGCTCACAGTACCTAAAAGGTTACTAAGCTGGGCCTTCACTGAGTTCCTAGTGCAGGACTGATTTTATGCCTGCGTGCTCACTTGCTGTGTGGCAGAATTAGGCTCTGGACTTGCTTCCTTATAACCTGGTAGCCAGATTATAAGGAATGACTACCAGCTTCTAAGGACAGCTCCCATGATACAACAAAAGAACCTTAGAGTCAGGCCTCTTAAATTGGCTTAGGTGGGTTTTCAGTGTAGTGGGGGGGGGGGGGGGGAGGCAGCAGGGGATGGCATCTCTGATATAAATTCCATTTACTTCATGGTTTTCCCCAGAGACCGCACCATTATTCCTATTAACTAACCCCAGAGTAATCCCCTGATGATAACACTTTGGTTCTAGACATACGGCCCCGTGAGACATGTCAAGTGCTCCACAGCGGGGTTAGAAGTCACTCAGCTTTTCCAGAACTCAGGCCCATCTCAACCCTCATCGGTCCTCTGGCTTATCAGCACATACCTGTCCACTGTGGCTGGGGCCATGGCCCTGTGAGCAAGATGTGGTCTGAGCCCATGGCTGAACATCCCTTTGTTTTCACTCGCCTGGCGGTAGGTGCTCCAGAAAATCCCACTCAGAAGGATCACAAACCCCAGAGGCAGAAGCAAATAGGCCAGGATCAGGTTCCACCGACAGTTGAACGTGGAGCCTGAGGAGATGAAGAAGGCCCCCAGGCAGATGATCAGAAAGCCTGTCAGAAGGGCAAGGGCACAGAGGACTGCACCGGTTTTGTTCCGCATCCCTGCTCCTTGGGAACCCGGCTCCCTGACCCTGCCACTCCCCTGCTTCCCCTGCTCAGAGAGAATGCTCATTAGCCAGCTCGTAGCTTTATACGCTCTGGGACCAATTGGCCTTTGGACAATTAAATGAAGCAGGCACTTAGAAGGTACTCATTAACCATTGAAAGTAACTATAATGTATATTGGAGGATTAACCTAAAAACACAGCACTGTGTACTACAGGAAGGAGTGGCTTCTCATTGCTGCCTTGTTCTGAGCTGGAGAGGACCCTCTGCTGACACCAGTTATTTGAGGGGAGGTCTCCCATCATGGATTACAAGAACACTGGTGTCTTAATCCCTACTGTGGGTAATTCCCCACAAATGCTAGAGAAATTGGCATTCCTTGATGAACTATCTTCTTTGTGGCTTAGCAGGAAGTCCCTTGATTTCTTACTTCTTTCTCTGTACTAAAAAGACTTTTTCAAAAGGCCCTTAACATGTTTGTCTTGCCTCTCTCACTGACTCTCCCTTTATTGCCTTTGTACTATGATATTGAAAAAATTCCCAGAGAAAATCCCATGGAGTGAACTCCCTGATTCCTTCTCTGCTGACAAGCAGGAGGGGAAGAGTGCTGGAGAGGAGAATTGTAATAGACAGAGCTTTGGGAATTGGGAGGGATTTCTGTGAGTAGTTGGAAAAGGTGATGATGTGGTGACTTCTGCTCTGATTCTGATTTTGTATCTTTCCCATTGTTGACGTCCAAATGTTGAGATCCAAGGGTCATTTCTGCTTATCACATAGGTGTTGGATAAAAATATTTTGCTTATTGCCCAACCACTGGCCACCATTCTTGGCTTAGAGAAATATTTGAACCAGTTCCCACTCATCCTGCTAAAAAAAAAAAAAAAGCCACAGGCATTTGGTAAAAGAGCATTCTCTGAAATACACAGCATGTTACCACCTCCACACAAACAAATAAATACTGTGAGAAGCTCTGCCTAGTCAAACCGCACTCTCCCTCACACACATCTTAGGGTCTCACAGAGCATACTAACATACTAAAGGCCCTGAAAATCCTGTAATCTTCTTCCCCTCATAAAATATATATTTAAAAACTGTGTTTTGATAGATGCTGCTAAAAAATGTTTCCTGTCCTCTCCCCCATACTGTTGCTCTATGTAGTGTTGCCTCAAAAAATCTTTCTAGAACCCACTTCTCTTTTTTTGTACAGAATGTGTTTCTTCCGTCTTGACTGTCTTTAGTTGCAGACACCCTATTCTAGATCTGGTTCATGCCCTAATCCTTTCATTTTTTATTTGATGTATGTCCCTGCCCAGGGGGGTCTCTGGGTCACCTCTGTCCAGAGAGATTATCTTCAGTTCCTCTTTGATTTTTCTCTACCCCCCATTCCATTACCATTATTTTCCATTTACCTTCCCAGTGGAGAAAGCAGTTCTTTGCACAATGAATACGTGTAAAATTAAAGACACAGGATCAAAAATGCTATAAGGTACATCCCATTCTACCTCCTAACGTCTAACTTTACTAGCTTCAAACCTTATACCCTGAACTACTTTAATCTTCTAGTCTTGATATTATCCTTGAAATCTTAAAACAACTCTTTCTCCCTCCTTTTCTAGTTGGTCTTGAGGTTGGCAAATTTCTAAGATGACCCCCGGGGATCCATGTCCTTTTGAGTGTGGGCTGGACATGGTGGCTCGATTCTAACCAAAAGAATATAGCAAAGGTGATGGGTGTCACTTCCATGAATAGGTACAAAAGATTGTGACATATATCTTGCTAGCATTATCTCGCTGCCTCATAGCTTGCACCCTGGAGGAAGGAAGTTGCCATGTTGGAGAGGCCATAAGACAAAGAACTGAGGGCAGCTTCTGGCCAACAGTCAGTGAAGATCTGAGGCCCTTAGTCCAGGAACCAGTGAGGAACTGTATCCTGACAATGACCACGTGAATTTGAAATCAAACCCTTGCCCAGTTGAGCCTTGAGGTGACTGTAGCCTAAGCAACGCGGTGATTGAGAGACCTTGAAGCCAAGCACTCAGCTAAATCACGCCCAGATTCCTAACACACGAAAACTGTGAGAAGGTAACTGACTGTGCTATTTTAAGCTGCCAAGTTTTGTGGCATTTTGTTAGGTAACTAATACAGTTCTTTAGGACTTGGAAACCAGAAGACACAATCAATGTTAAATGTTTACACAGTGCCTAGCACATAGAAAATGCCCTATCTACGTTAGCTAGAATCATCCTCACCATTATTGTTACTTTTATTACTGTTGTGATTCCAAAAAACTGGGGAAGACCCAGGATTTCCAACTATAAGGGGTGCCCTAGAAGTTGGGTCCCAAGAACAGGTAAGTGGTAAGGCCCCAGAGATAAGTGTAGGTAGAGGAAGGAGGGACAGCACTCTCTATCAGAACTGCTCACCCAAAGGGTTGGGCTTTTTTGTTTTAGACCAAAACTGGGGGAGGAGTGAATCAGACTGGGCATTAGAACAAGTCAGGCCTGGTTCCTGTGATCACACGAATATTTGAGCAAGCAAGTCTCTGTACTTTCCCTCCTCTAGTTCCAATAAAGGATAAATAGTGCCTCATAGTTTGTCAGACAGATTCTTCACTTCCATATCCTTTAAGGAGGACGCTGTCATTCCAGAGCAGTGGGTTTTGTTGGTGGTGGTTTTTTGTTTGTTTGTTTTTGTGAGAAACTGGGTAGGAAAGAACAAGATCCAAGAGCTGGCAGGAGGATGAAAGGGAGTAGTGACTTTACATGAGATCCCTGGGCTCAGAATATTTGAGGAGCTTATCTTGAGTGAGGTGGGGCATCAAGGAGAAAGTATAGAAGAAGGTACAGTATATGAAGAGAGATGGGAAAGGGGAAAAGAAGCGATATAGAAATAGGAAGTATTGCTGGGAACCACCTGTCTCCTTCATGACAGTGGTTGAGACATACCCAGGGATGATTAATGTTACAGTTATTTTTGCATGTTTGTGTTTGTTTTATAAAAGATATAAATTATTAAATAATAAGATTTTTTTTTACTGTGACTCAGCTTCAGTTCTGAACCACATACACCCCTGCTGCATGACCATTATTCCCCTTTGATGCTTCAACAATGACCAAGGATAACTCAAACCAGTTGACTTGGAGTTTTAAATAATTTTTTTATTACTTGTGGTTTCCCTGTTGTTTGTGTTGTGGTATACCCACATTCCCCACAACTACTAGCAGTGAAAAGGCTTTTTGAAAAGTAGAAAATGAAAGTAGATTTGTGCTTGCTTCAGTGATCATGAACGAGCACAGGCATTGAGAGAAAGCACCCTGGCCTTCATCAGCCTTGAAGGGGCAGAAACCCAGGCAGAACAGCAGGCCAAAACCTCAGGGCTGGGAGAAAAGAAAAGGAATCCAATAAAGAGCCAGCCAAACACCAAAAAGTCACCCTACAGAGTTCATTTCAGGAGACCTGTGGGCTTTTGCCTGGGCTTCCTTATGTTTTCCGCTATCTGCTGGGTCTGCCTTCACTCCCAGGCCAACTTTCCTACCCTCCTCCACCTCATTACATACCCAGCACTGAGTGTGAGAGTAAGGGGCCAGGAATATTGACTCCACTTAAAGGTGAAGAAACTGCAAGAAACAGAGCTTGATGGTTCATTGAAGTTCATATAGACAGTGTGGGACTGATGGTGGATGGGTACTCTGGGAGGAATATGGACAGAAGCCCACCTTCGATAGAGGAACATTCTGGGACCCATCAGAGGCCAAGCTAAAGTCCTCTTATCCCAACTCCCATCTCTTCAACAATAAACCCATCTGGGAAATGATGTTTTTCCTTTAAGCCAGTTTATTTATTGTCATCATTCTTAAAAAGTCACCAATCAGCAAAAGTGCCTGGCTTGGCAGTAGGCAGTAACATGTTATTTGGTTGACAGCCAAACTATCTTAACACATAATCACTCTTTCAACACTCTGTTCCTGTGAGCATGACCACTCCATGGGTGCTGTTCTGAACACTGAGTGAGCCGTGTTCCAAGCACTGTGCTGCCTTCCGCGATGGAGCCCCTGAAACCTCCCCCTCCTTTCAAACGCTCCCTGCAGTATGTAAATGCCTTGGAACTTCTAATGGCCCTCTGCCCTGTCTTTGTTTGCTGGATGCTTGGCCCGTACCCTTCTCTTGAAAACAGGAAAAGTGTATTGCATTGGGTAAGAACTCAATGGGGACTTTGGAAGGAAGCTAATGGTGTGTAGAAGCTGTTGCATAGGAGGGGCATGGGGCCAAGAGCTGAGGTTGAGTGGCCAGATTTCAGAAGGTCACTTTGCTTCAGGAAGTGAGGCTTTGTGGGAGATGGGGAAGGTGAGCGTGTGCGTAGCGAGCGATGTCAACAGGGTCTGGTGATTCCTGAGTGATTTCTGGATTAGCCTTTCACACGTATGGGTTCATTGAACACCGGCCATTTCCTCCTCTTTTCCTTTTTGTTTTCTCTGCTTTGGAAACTCCCCCGTTCACCACCACTACCACCTCTCCTTTTCCCCTCACTTACTCAAGGAGGCATTTTTAGGTTGACAGAGTACAGACTGTTTCTCAGAGAACGTTTAGCATTGTGAAGTAAGGTGATATTAGATACCACACAAGACTCACACTCACCCTTGAATGAACCTAGTGGATCTTAAATAAGAAGACAAATTTTGTTCTTGAATAGCTCGGCTTCCAATTTAATCCACAAATAAGCCAGAAGAGATTTAATTTCTTCGTTGATTCTTGGAAAACCAGAAGGAGACCATATTTCTGTGGCCACTTTGGATCAGAGCAGAAGCCTCAAGCCAGGACAGAATTGGACTGCCTGAGTTTACACTAGTTGGCATGACTGCCAGTGACTTGTGAATATGAAGTAGGTTCTGTATCCCACCTTAGGAAATTTTCTTTAACATTGATCTTCTATTTCCCATCTACAAATAAATCCTAATATACATTTAGTAGCCTCATTGTTAGTAAGAATGTAGAGTAT